ATAACAGAGAAAAAAATGTAACATTTGATTAAGACTTATTTAATCAATAATAGGAAGAGGATAGATCAAAATACTTTTAACAAATGAAAACTTTTCTCACCTGGATGCAGTCAGTTAAATCGAATTTATCTATTCTGCTTCTTAGATAAGAATGAACAGAATTTTCTAAATCTTTAACATAAACTGAAGTCGAATCATCAATTTGAAAGATTTCTCGCAGTCTTATAAAAATTTCTCCTAGTTTATTTTGAACGGAATGAAAAGCTAACTGGAAAATTAACAAATTTCAATAAAAATTTATTTGTGGTTATCCTATTTAAATATTTTAATAATCATAATATTAACTGCATTAATAGTTATTTTTTTTTAAATAAACATGTAGTTAAATACACTATATACTCGTAAAATCTATTATCGAAAATTTTCATAATCCTATTATAAGTTATTTTTAATTTAAACTGTATGAAACATGGAAGTATTATTGCTCAATTTCGAATCAACACTATTATTATGAATTATATTTATATAGATCTATATTGTTTCAGCAATAATCAGATATAATCCAGAAGTTGGGCGAAGAGATTAAGACTCCAGCCTATGACCCGGAATCGAGTCCGGGCCAGCAATCCCAGAAGTTTTCGGGGTGATCAGATAAGTCGGACCCATTCCTTACCACCCACTCCCGCTCTCAATGTAAACTTGAACGAACCCACACTAGGTACTAGGAGAGTCCATAAGATAACTTTTTCCATCTTATGAGCACTCCTTGTCAGAAACGAAAAAGTATATTATATATAGTCTATATATGAATATATGAAGCGTGCAATGCCATAATGTTGTAAATGCCAAAAAAGAAACTTTTCAGGAAAGGTAAAAAACACTATTTCTAATGAATGAATTCATTTCAATTTTACAATAAAATGGTAAAAAACTCTCTAGGTTACAAATTCTCTGCGATATCAAAATGATGTAAATATAAGTCATAACGTTTTAAGCATCAAAAAGTCACGTGACTTGCACTCGTGTTATATCTTCATATAAATTCATCTTCAAAATATAGCCACTTACAGTACCAATATCTCCACAATATTCTTTTGTGGCAGAAAACATTGCATTTTTAATTCCATTCTTCAATAAAACGTATTTAGAGAAAAATGGCATTTACAACGTTATGGCATTGTGCACGCTTCATACATATATTGTAACATAAACATAATTTGAATAAATAAATAAATAAATAATATATTAATAAACTTTTACTATTTCTGATTAGAATCTTTTATAACATAATAATTTAAATAAAAAAAGTGCATTAGATATTTTTTAATGATGTTATATTGATCATAAAAAAAAGATCAGTTGTACACACTTATTTATCTTGATACAATATAACATTTGTAACTCGATTACGTTTGCCAAATTATTAAAAAAAAAAAGTCTTTTATCGAATGAGATGTAATCTATAAGAAAATCGAAGAAAATTATATAGAGGACAACAATTTTTCTGTATAAAAATCTTACATGCTGCATTTATTCTCCTTTAACATTCCAAAGAGTAATGACCTGTATTTGAAATCATTATTTAGGAGGAAAAAAAAAGGTAAATTTTCTTTGTTTTTCCTAAAAGGAAAGAATAAATTTTATAACAAAGAAAAACTTCTTTTTGGAAAACTTCTCTAAATATACTTAAATTATTTATCACGTTAACTTGATATATCTAATCTTAAAATAAATCATTTTAACTCCTTGATTTATGTCAAGATACAGAAAAAAAATTTATAATAGAAAAATTGATTAATATTTTATTGTAAGATATGACTAATTTTCTATATTTTATTTTATTTTAAATTTTCCTTTAAATAATAACTAATTAATATTCATGAACTACAATGAATTGTTGATGTTATTTGAGTTAGTTGAACGACATCTTGAATTATCATCATATTTCTTTGAAAAATTTATATTTTATAGGTTAAATAATACATTTTCCTATAAATTTATAGGCATAATAATTATTTTATATCCAATAGAATAAGATATTTATTGTTTGGTCATTATTTTTTCATTGAATTTCTACAAGCCAATCATCTTCCACATCATTTAAATTGGAATAAGGAAATTTTGATTCGTACGAAGTTCAAAAGAAAAAAACATGCTATTACATTTTCTCCATCAAATTGATAATCATTTTGTTAGAAATACGAAGAATTTGTTATTTTAGGAGCACACTTCGAAGAAGATAGCAAATTTTCTTGTTGTTTTTTCATAACAATAAACAGGTAAGTAAGTATACATCGACTTAAATAAATAGGTTAGGTCTTACTTGATGAATGCATATACGTATATATAGGAAAAATGAAGGATAATGAAGTTTATTCTAATTTTTTATATAGATTAGAGACTCATTTATGACTTCCTCTTCGATTCTGAATGAGTTCGTGAAGTAAATTTAACACACGAATAGTTAAAGATAGAACTTTGTAGTCTGATGACAAATTTAACCACGCTCGTTCTTAAGAATCTTAACGTTATTTTTTTAATGTATTTTAAATTATGGATATTATATATTTTTTTCAATATAATTATTATAAAATAGTTTAATATAGTAGCAAATTAAATGCTAATTTTTATAACTGTAATAGAACTTCATATTTTTTGCAGGTATGTTAACGTTATATTTATTTGTTATCTTTATCAAATTTTCAATAATTTTTCTTATATATATTAAATAATTTAAAATATTTATGTAACTTATTTTCGGTTGAAGTAATAAGATTTGTTTAGAATGTAATTTAAATAATCATTTATTAATTTAGAGTACTTAATATTTGAATATTTAATCATATGCAATTAAGAAAATTTAAAAAAATAAGTAGGGAAGTTTATATAATCTAAATAAAATATATTTTATGTCATATTTATAAATGGCTTTTTATAAATAAACATTTTACATTAACTTATACTTTTTTTTTTAATTTATAAGTTTCATATATTTGTTAAATTAGTAGAATTAAATGCATATTTGATCCTGTTCGTTTCATTAATTAAATTTACTGATTACACGTTAAATTAAAAATGTTTTAATACACGAATTAAACATAAAATAAACAATATTTAATGTTAATATTATAAGGAATTAAACGTTAAATTATTAAAGAAATTAATTTAATATTTTACTAATAGCTCATGAAGTGCGACTGTGTAAATCGGATTCTATCGACGGGTTTTCGTCATTTGGGACATTTTATTGGATTGCATCCAGTATGGTTTATTGTAATACCGATATTATTAACAACATTCCTTGGATTAGGATTTATTCGTATGAAAATTGTGACAGATATAGAATATCTATACAGTCCTATAAATGGTAGAGCAACTCAGGAGAGAGATGCTGTTGAATCTTTGTTTCCTCCCGATCTCACTACAGATTATGACTTTTTGAGAGATACCAGATTAAGAAAGTGCGGAAATGTGATCTGCACCGCTAAAAATGGCGGAACTATGCTAAAATCGAGTATATTCGACGATATTATCGCATTAGATAAAGAAATAAGCAACATAAGTATCATTTGGAATAATACAATTTATACATATTCCGACTTATGTTGTAAATCCCATGGAAAGTGTTATGTAAATGGAATTTTAGCTCTCAGAGATATAGTAGATCGAGTCAGAGAAAATAAAATTAAACTAAGGTAAGATTATTTTTTAAAAATTTAAGATTTATATATGAAAAATCTACTTTTACTTCTTACTTCCGATAGATTTACTATGTTTTATGCTTGATATTGAAATAATATGATATTAATTTTGTAGCTTGGAGTAATAAAGACCGATACACTTGATATTATCCCTTATTTTTTCAAGTCACAGAATTATATTACAATATAAAAATGTACTTTACATATATCTGTAATTCCATATTTTAATATAATTAATATCATAGCACTTGCGTAGCATTAATTAAAATTATAGTGAAATGTAATTTAATATTAAAATACATATACAGTATTATATTCAAGTATGCTTATATACATGTGAATTATTCTAAACATCTTGCACGTATCGAGTGTTTTACAATTTTCTGTAATCTATAATTTTATCTAACATTAATTAATTATCTAACATATTTTATTTAGTGTGTTATACGTATTTTAATGATATTAAAGTACGTATAACACACTAAATAAAATATTAAATATGTGTTTTAAATAGAGCATTCTTAAATGACAAGAATTTGGCATACACCGTAACTGACTATGGAGCAAACTTAGGAGGAATAACAATGAAACAAGATGACTTTCTGGAAGATATTAAAGCTATCAGATTATTTTACCTATTGGATGACAGTACCGAACATAAGAAAATGCTAGCAGAATTATGGGAAAATGAATTTATTGATGTAGTTTCAAAGTTACATTATAAAACTATCGAAGTTTATCGATTTACAAGGAGTTCCTTCAACAGCGAATCCAGTCGAGTCACAGAAATGTCGTTTCCTCTTTTACTCGTATGTGTACCCGCTATGGTAATATTTGCCGTTGTGAATTGCATGACCATAGATTGGATCACCAGCAAACCATGGATTGGAGTCGCAGGATGCTTAAATTCTGGTTTCGCAATCGTTGCATCATTTGGTTTCTTAATATGGTGCGGATTAGAATATCTTGATCTGAATATATCTATCACATTTTTAATTATAGGTAAGTCTTAAGATTTAAAAAAAATGATAAAATATACAAAACAATTAATTATTAAATTTGTTAAAAATAAAGGTGTAGGACTAGATGACTCCTTTGTTATCCTTGCTGCCTGGAGGAGAACAGATCCAAAGAAGAGTGTACCGGAAAGACTCGCTGAAACATATTCCGAAGCTGCCATATCCATCACAATCACATCAGTAACAAACATAATCTCATTTTGTGCTGGAATGTTAACACCATACAGGATTGTAAATATCTTCTCCATTTATATGGCTGTTAGTGTGCTTTTTGATTTCCTTTTCCAAATCACTTTCTTCGGCGGATGCATGGCAATCAGCGGTTATCGTGAAAGTAGAAAACTTCATGCCGTATTTTGCATGGCTATAAAACCCGATATGAGATCTAGTAAGTAAACTATTTTACTCTCAATTTGTTAATAAAAATTTAATATATTTATTTATTTATTATATAATAATTTAAAATGTATATCAAANTATAAAATAAAACGTAACAATGATAACAACAACGAAAATATTATCTGCGAAAATTTTATTTTTGTTAAGAAAAATAGAAAACGGAAGGAAGAGAATTTTGATAAATTTGAAACAATTTTAGAAAGTAATTAAATATACTTTGTTTTATAATTAGTTATTTTAAAAATGCTTTTACAGAAGGTATGAGGCTTATTAATATAAGAATCACTATCAACAATAAGGGGTTATCATAAAAAGTTAACGTATCTTCGTATGTAAATCACGTATTATGGAGTATTATGTAAAATTTAATAAATAATTTACAATAAAGAAATTTGTTTAGAACATTCATAAAATAAACAATATTTAATGTTAATATTATAAGGAATTAAACGTTAAATTATTAAAGAAATTAATTTAATATTTTACTAATAGCTCATGAAGTGCGACTGTGTAAATCGGATTCTATCGACGGGTTTTCGTCATTTGGGACATTTTATTGGATTGCATCCAGTATGGTTTATTGTAATACCGATATTATTAACAACATTCCTTGGATTAGGATTTATTCGTATGAAAATTGTGACAGATATAGAATATCTATACAGTCCTATAAATGGTAGAGCAACTCAGGAGAGAGATGCTGTTGAATCTTTGTTTCCTCCCGATCTCACTACAGATTATGACTTTTTGAGAGATACCAGATTAAGAAAGTGCGGAAATGTGATCTGCACCGCTAAAAATGGCGGAACTATGCTAAAATCGAGTATATTCGACGATATTATCGCATTAGATAAAGAAATAAGCAACATAAGTATCATTTGGAATAATACAATTTATACATATTCCGACTTATGTTGTAAATCCCATGGAAAGTGTTATGTAAATGGAATTTTAGCTCTCAGAGATATAGTAGATCGAGTCAGAGAAAATAAAATTAAACTAAGGTAAGATTATTTTTTAAAAATTTAAGATTTATATATGAAAAATCTACTTTTACTTCTTACTTCCGATAGATTTACTATGTTTTATGCTTGATATTGAAATAATATGATATTAATTTTGTAGCTTGGATAGGGTTTTTTTATTATTAAGTCCGATAGATTTACTATGTTTTATGCTTGATATTGAAATAATATGATATTAATTTTGTAGCTTGGAGTAATAAAGACCGATACACTTGATATTATCCCTTATTTTTTCAAGTCACAGAATTATATTACAATATAAAAATGTACTTTACATATATCTGTAATTCCATATTTTAATATAATTAATATCATAGCACTTGCGTAGCATTAATTAAAATTATAGTGAAATGTAATTTAATATTAAAATACATATACAGTATTATATTCAAGTATGCTTATATACATGTGAATTATTCTAAACATCTTGCACGTATCGAGTGTTTTACAATTTTCTGTAATCTATAATTTTATCTAACATTAATTAATTATCTAACATATTTTATTTAGTGTGTTATACGTATTTTAATGATATTAAAGTACGTATAACACACTAAATAAAATATTAAATATGTGTTTTAAATAGAGCATTCTTAAATGACAAGAATTTGGCATACACCGTAACTGACTATGGAGCAAACTTAGGAGGAATAACAATGAAACAAGATGACTTTCTGGAAGATATTAAAGCTATCAGATTATTTTACCTATTGGATGACAGTACCGAACATAAGAAAATGCTAGCAGAATTATGGGAAAATGAATTTATTGATGTAGTTTCAAAGTTACATTATAAAACTATCGAAGTTTATCGATTTACAAGGAGTTCCTTCAACAGCGAATCCAGTCGAGTCACAGAAATGTCGTTTCCTCTTTTACTCGTATGTGTACCCGCTATGGTAATATTTGCCGTTGTGAATTGCATGACCATAGATTGGATCACCAGCAAACCATGGATTGGAGTCGCAGGATGCTTAAATTCTGGTTTCGCAATCGTTGCATCATTTGGTTTCTTAATATGGTGCGGATTAGAATATCTTGATCTGAATATATCTATCACATTTTTAATTATAGGTAAGTCTTAAGATTTAAAAAAAATGATAAAATATACAAAACAATTAATTATTAAATTTGTTAAAAATAAAGGTGTAGGACTAGATGACTCCTTTGTTATCCTTGCTGCCTGGAGGAGAACAGATCCAAAGAAGAGTGTACCGGAAAGACTCGCTGAAACATATTCCGAAGCTGCCATATCCATCACAATCACATCAGTAACAAACATAATCTCATTTTGTGCTGGAATGTTAACACCATACAGGATTGTAAATATCTTCTCCATTTATATGGCTGTTAGTGTGCTTTTTGATTTCCTTTTCCAAATCACTTTCTTCGGCGGATGCATGGCAATCAGCGGTTATCGTGAAAGTAGAAAACTTCATGCCGTATTTTGCATGGCTATAAAACCCGATATGAGATCTAGTAAGTAAACTATTTTACTCTCAATTTGTTAATAAAAATTTAATATATTTATTTATTTATTATATAATAATTTAAAATGTATATCAAATTACATATAGATGTTCAGAAGATTTATATTTATTTAAATTTTTTTAACGCAGGAAGCTACATATATCGTTTACTTACTTATGGAATCATACACGAGAGCAATAAAAACTGCGAAGAGAATTCTGGAAATCTGCTTATGTTATTTTACAGAGATATATTAGGCAAATTTCTCTGTTTGAAGTGGATAAAAGCTTTAATACTTGCATTTTTCTTCGTTTATATATGTGGAGCCGTATATTCTTTCAGATGGATACAAGAAGGATTAAGATATCAAGATGTATTACCTCATAACTCTTTTGGAATGAAATATTCAATACAACATTATAAATACTTTACACAATACCCTCAGCGGATACAAGTAATCATCAACAACACTTTAGATTATTCCGATCCAAAAGTGCAACAAGAATTGAAAGAATTCATCCATGAGTTTGAAGAGATTCCGTTAGTGGTAGGAGGATTATTTACAGAATTCTGGTTAAAATATTATTTAAAATTTCTTAAAGATAAACGCTATTGGTTTTCTCATGCCGGTTACAATATGAGCGATCCTGATGATTTTATCGATTGTCTTCGTGACGTTTTCCTAAAATTTCCATGGGCTCAAAATTTAAAGAAAGACATATTGTTTAGTAAGGACGGTAAGAAGATTATTGCAACGCGATTTCTTCTAGGAAGTCAAAATGTAGTAGATACAAATGCAGAAAAGGAATTGTTACAAAGTTTATGGAAAGTTACAGATTCTTTCAAGTACAAATCTTACGTTCATCAATTTTGGTTTATAATATTTAATCAACATATCGACATCAAAGATACGACCATACAGACTCTTTGCATTGCTGCAGTTTTGGTGACTTTAGTTTTTACGTTGTTCTTACCAAACATACCTTGCGTGTTGTGCATCGCATTTACTATTGTTTCCATAGAAATTGGATTGGTTGGTTACATGTCAGCTTGGAACGTACACATAGACGATATATCTATGATAGTTCTTATCATGTCTACGGGATTTTGTGTAGATTATGCATCACACATATCATATGCATATGTAAGTTGTGCAAGTGAGGATGTTAACATAAAACTAAGAAGTGCTCTTTATGCTGCTGGTCATCCGATTGTACAGGGTTGTATCTCGAGTATATTAGGGACTTTAGTATTTTATTTCGGCGCTTCTAATGTTTTCATTGTATTTTTAAAAATTGTTTTTCTAGTGATGTCCTTTGCACTTTTTCACGGTTTGTTTTTCTTACCAGTTATATTGAGTATTTGGGATAGTGTCTACTATAAAATAAAACGTAACAATGATAACAACAACGAAAATATTATCTGCGAAAATTTTATTTTTGTTAAGAAAAATAGAAAACGGAAGGAAGAGAATTTTGATAAATTTGAAACAATTTTAGAAAGTAATTAAATATACTTTGTTTTATAATTAGTTATTTTAAAAATGCTTTTACAGAAGGTATGAGGCTTATTAATATAAGAATCACTATCAACAATAAGGGGTTATCATAAAAAGTTAACGTATCTTCGTATGTAAATCACGTATTATGGAGTATTATGTAAAATTTAATAAATAATTTACAATAAAGAAATTTGTTTAGAACATTTTACATTTATCTTGTATTAAAATTTATTATAATTTAACAATAAGTTCCGGTTATAATTTTATTAACGCATTAAATTACATGTCATCTTTACAAAAAAAAAGGTTTTATAACACAGAATGCATTGTCTCATTTTAAATTTTAAAGTATTTTTTTCTAAACATACAAAAAAAGTAGATCAATTATACATTTGACCAGTTAAATATATAGAGGATGAATGTTATGTAGTATACGTTTAAAACAATTTATATATATAGAAATGATAAGACGATTGTACGATACGTAAATATCTAATAATTGAGGTTGGACATTTATCTTTCCTACTAGTGAAAGTTCCTTCCATATTTGAATTTAGTGAGTTCACGACATCAGTCATGAAGCTATTTTCCGTGTAACTTGTACAGTTCACAAAAAAACGTGTTTAAAAGGAAACCCCACGGTTATTGTGCTAAATTTTCTTTTTTGGTAATTATTAACCGGTGCAAAGATTAACTTCGAATACTTAAATCCTTCATAAATATCCTTACTTACATATAAATAATACAAAGGCAACATTTAAAATAGTCTATTGCACAGTCTACATAAAAAAAAATATATATATATTATTTTTAGATTTTGAGGCTATAGTTGGAAATTATTATCAATGAAAAAGTTATAAAATAAATAACAATTTAAGTAATATATCATACATTTTATAATAATATAATTTTTAAAAGAAATAATATAAATTACTGATAATTATTGAAGAATATATAGGTCATTAATAATTGGCTATTAAACTTAACTAAATTTAGCTCCA